AAAATATATTTTTTCATAATTTGTAGTCCACTCGATCGAATATATCCGAAACCGAAATATATCCGAACCGGACTAGACCCGAAACCGAAATATGTCCGACTCAAATTGTATCCGAATCAAAATCTATCTGAACCGATTCATAACCGAACCGTATCTGAACCGACTCGAAACCGAACCGAACCGAAAAATGTATAGAACCGAAATCAAATCCGAACCGAAATTTAACCGATCCGAACCGAACCGAACTGATTATAACATATAACCGAAAGATATCCGAACCGAAAAAGTTCAATCCGGAACCGATCCGGTTGATCCGATTGCCACCTCTAATAATAAGGTGATTACCTATCAAGTATTGATCCTGTTTCTATACTGCAAACGCAATGGCCAGCATTTCATTTTCATATACAGATAGTTTCTATCATTTTGACCCTAAAGATCTGTTGATACATGCTAAAGGATGTTAGCTTTGCATGAGGACTGCTCCAGTCTCTTCTTTAGGTTCATTTGTTTCGACTTCAAACAACAAATTGAAGTTCGGAACTGCCAGAACAGGAGCTGTAGTTAGGGCTAGTTTCAAAGAGGTGAAGGCTTCCTGAGCACCCTCTATCCATGTGAATGCTCCCTTGTTTGATAAATCGGTCAAGGGCTTACTAATCATAGGATATCTTCTGATGAATTTCCTATACTATCCAGCCAAGCCTAAAAAACCTCTAAGCTCTTTTGGTGATGTATGTACTGGCCAACTTACAATTGCATAGATTTTGGCATAGATGAATTGACCTAGATATTCCACTTTCTTACTCACAATCGTGCATTTGTTGAGTTTTTGCGTACAACATATGCTTTTTCATTAATTCAAAAACTTGCCTCAAGTGGATCCAATGATCTCCCTTCGTTTTGCTGTATACAATGATATCATTAAAAGATGACCAAGCATGAGTTTCTCAGTAGGGGTTTGAAAAGCTCATCTATCCAGCTTTGGAGGATTGTAGCGGGATTATTGGGTCCAAAGGGCATCATGAGGAACTTAAAATGCCCTGTGTGAGTATTAAAAGCTATCTTATAAACATCCTCTGGATGAATTCTCAATTGATGGTAGCCAGCTCTCAAGGTCCAGCTTAGTAAACACCTCAACTCCAACAAGTTCATCTCTCAAATCATTCATTATAGGAATTGGAAACTTGCCCTCAACATAGTTTTGCTGTTCAATTCTCTATAGTCTATACACAGCCTCCATGTCCTATACTTTTTACCTACTAGTACTACTGGAGAGACAAAATTGTTGGAACTATGTAGTATGATTCATCTTTCTAACATTTCTCGTACCAACTGCTCAATTGTATCCGTTTGCTTCAAAGTTCAAAGGATACCTCTAAGGCCTAGTGTTAACTGGCCTTGTTCTTGGCTCCAAGGGTATTCTGTGGTCATATACCCTTATGAGAGGAGGTAACTCTGGTGGTTCCTCAAAAACCATGTTAAATGCTTCTTTCAATATTTCCAATTCCTTATCTTCATTGGTAACTCCCTTGCACTCCCAACTCCTTATCATACCTGGAGATTGCTCCATCTCTTCTCCCTTAAGTTGTAACAAGCAAACTTGTATAGAATTATTGAATAATTTTGTTGTTGGAGTTTCTTTACAACTTTCATTTTCTTATTTACCTTCCCCTTGAGGACAAAGGATTTTCCATCCAACTGATCCAAGACAAGCCTCATGGTCATTTCCAGCCACTGAATCCCTAAAACCATATCACAGCTGTGCAAGGATATTAACATGACATCTGTAACAAACTTCTTGTCTTGCATTTTCTATATAAACTGGTTATAAGTGTTTTGACGGGCTATTTTGTTACCAAATGTTACTGTCACTGCTTGGTTGCGTACTTGCTCAATTTTACATCCCAAGCTCCTAGCATTCTCTAGGCTTAAGAAATCGTGAGTGCTTCCAGAATCAATCAGTATGTGAACATAGTTGTCCAGGCATTGCTTAGGCATCCTGGCGGTCAGATCATCTCCCCATGGTGTATCGCCTCGCCTTATTTCGCTTCCCTCGCCTAGGCTTCAGACAGGCATTCACTAGGCATCAAGGAATCGACTAGGCATCGCCTTTTGAAAATCCTGTATGCCTTTTAGTCAGTAATTTTTTTTCATAGTATATACTTTGCACTAGCCGACCCCACCTACTGGATAAAGCTTTGTTGTTGTAGTATTTACTATGCACTAAGAAGTCGTATATTGTTTGTTTAATCATATTTTGTACTCCCTCCGTCCTAAAATTAACTTCTCATTTTCCATTTTGGGCCGTCCTAAAATCATCTTCCCATTACTTAAAATGGAAAGTTTTTATTCAGCAAATGACATTAATACCCCTAACCAATATACCCACCCAACTTCTCCATCTTTCAGAATTCACCGCTCTCACCCAAACAACTCTATCTCTCTCTCTCTCTCTCACTATTTCACACCTCTTTCAGCACCAATACTTTGTCTCTCCATCTTTTACCTCTTTGCCATATATTATATCTTCATTCAACTCCTAAAGTTTCGTGTTTAAATTGGTCTGCACCATCAGCCCTTTTTGCTCTATACATCGTTATGGTCATAGACCAAAGCTCCATCTCGGAATCAATGGTTTCCGCATCTTCATCCCTGACTCCATTGTCGTCTGAGGAGTTCACAGATTTAGACACGTGCGATTCGATGGTGGTCCAAGCAAAGCTTCCGGGATGAGATTTGCAACGCAGATCTAGCTACTACATGTTGAGAGCAATCATATCTCAGATCTAAATCGATGCCAACAATGACGATTTCGACTCCCATGGAGTCGGTGACCAGAGTTCATATTTTCTTTTTTTTGTACGTATTTGTGTTTTGTGTGAAGAATCTTCAAATTGGGCACCCTGATTCCAATTATTCGTTTCAACATTCATTTTTAAAGAGACTTTAATTTTGTGATGTTTAAAGGGCAATGAATCCTTTCGTTTGCATTGTGTATGTGCTTGATCTTAGTGAGGGAGAGTAGAGATCTCAGGTCTCTGTGATTGAGAATGTGAATATGGAGGATAAGGGGCATTTTGGGGAAGTCAATGCAATTTTAACACTTTCTTAAAAATCACCTCCGGTCAAAGCGGGAAGTTAATAATATGACGGAGGGAGTATTACATATTCTTCCTTTTTTATACTATGGTGTGTGTAGTTTTTTTTTAAGTATGCGTATTTGAAATTTTGATTAGGTTTATAGAACACGTCTGTTTATATTTATATTAGTGTTACGTAGGGCATGTTCTTTTGGGTTGGAAAAGTTAACTTCCAACTTTTTCCAACTCCTTCCAGTTCCTTCCAACGACTTAAAAAAAGTATTTGTATATGATAAATATACAATAACATTATATATTCAAATTTATAACATACCACCTGTCCACCTCAAATACGGACTAGGATGAACTTATTTTTATCCAAAATTAGAGTTCCCTTACATATTTATTTGGGTGATCATTTAATTGAGTGATTTTTTAACACTTTAATTTTTTCAACCCTTCAAGTTTTTTCAACTCTTTCCAGTTTCTTCCAACATCCAACCTTAGAATTCCACCCGAAAAGAATAGGCCCTTAGTGTTACTGATGTATACCAATCCTCATTTCTTGTGTGTTGCCGCCTAGGTCGCCTAATTATCTTGTAGGTGGTCGCCTAGTCGTCCAGGCATCATGATGGTACACTGGTGCCGCGCCTTGCCTTGGCGCCGTGACAACTATGTATGTGAATAGGCGTCATGATGTTTACCGCGCCTAGTCGTCCAGGCGTCATGATGTTTACCATGCCCATATCTCTCGTGGTTTGATAGCTATGTCCTCCAGTCAATACTTGTACAGAAATGCAAGCATCAAACCCTTCAATAGCTGTGATTGTATCAAGTACTCACATCCTCCTGATCATCTAAGAATTCTTCCTCTGCAGGTATTTCAACAGTATATGATTGCTGCTCTCTGAAACTGCATTTGTGGCCTCTCTCAAAGGGTTTGTCACAGCAGTAGCACAACCCTTTGTCTATCTTTTCTGCCCCCATATCTGCAGATATGTATTTATTGGATGTAGTGTGACTTGAGGAATTGAATCTTTGTAAGTTGGTAGGCTTGATTTTAGGAGTAGGTAGCAGTGGAGGTTTTGATGAGTTACTTATGAATGTTATTTTCATATTGAATTGGTGTGTATTTGCTGAATTTACTTTCATTTTTTTTCAATATCATCATCATTTGACCTAGCTTTTGATCTTGAGCATTAATTTTCTTATCCATACCAGTAAATCTCCCTTCAATGGCTTTCAATTAAGCTTCCATGGTTGCGCTGGTGCGTTCCGATGCTGATCTTGATTGAACAGGAACGATTGCTTTGATACCAATGATGTAGAAAGATGATCTTGCTAATTAGAGTAGTGAGAAAACTGGTTTCTGTCTCAAGGAAGAAGACGAACCAGAGAAACAGGAAGATTAGGAAGAGAAAAAACAAGAGTGAGAAATGAGGAAATTCAGTTGTATTCATTCATAAGTTTCCATCTCTACATTGTGTATCATTTATACAACAAAGACACTAACTAACAGCTAACTGACTAACTATTATTATCTCAATTACTTAGTAGTAGTCCACATCAGCTATAACAATGATAAATTATACAAGTCTGAGGAACCTACTGCTTTTAACTTCATGTTCTTTTGACCTTTTTCATATATCAGTTCTGGTGCCATAATGTCACTTCTTGCAATGTGAAACTAGTGTGTAGATCTAGGTTCATCATGTGTTCTAGCAGAGTAAAATTTATGCTTGTTTCAAACAATGTAAATAAGTGAATATCATGTTGCTTCCTTCTTGAGTGAGACATTTGATTATTTTGCATATCTCTCAAATTCTGTTTTTGTGTTTGTTTTTCTTATTGGTTTGTAATTCATCTCCCCATAAAAATTAATCCCTTATTGTGTGTACTTCCCGTCACTTTATTGAATCCCAATGGGAAGTGGGATCCATCATGGAATGTAACCAATTCTTAATTATAAGTTTTTTTTTGTTGGTTTTAAGAATAAAATTTATGTTCCCTTACTGAAAGTTGGCGAAATGATATCTTTGCAGGATTTTAGAGGAAGCCAACAACCGCCAAAGGCAAACAAAGTACATATATTGATCTTTATTGACCACATATACCTTTCGTCCATTTTACACTTGCATAAATTAATTACCATTGATTATGTAGTAGTGTTTCTCAATCTGTTTCTAATGTTTGTTTGAATGCTTGATTCAACCTATTCCAAAAAATACAGTTATAATGCCAAACACGCATAAAATGCATACTTCTGGAGAAGCTCCAACTTTGAAAAGGAGGATCTTCTAAAAGTTCAAGTTACTCATGTACCTTGTCGTTGTTAAGCTTCCTTGATTTTTTATCCCTTTTGTCAATTTTGTGCACCTATTTCTTAGTGCGAAATAACATTCTTAACAAAAAAACCCTCCGTCCCTAAAAGTCTCTCCTTTTTTTTCTCTGTCCCAAAATCCCTCTCCTTTCTATTAAAAAATCACTTTCATCCTTTCTAATTCTTACCTTACCTATCACATCTAATTTATCCATCACATCCTACTTTTACTCATCACATCAAGGTTAATTTGAGAAAGTCAATACAAAAATATCCTTTCCTTAAATCCCAAAATAGTCCAAATAAGGAGATTTAGGGACAGAGGGAGTACTACTACGTATGAACTATGAAGTATACCTTCTTTTTTTCCTATTCTGGCTAAGGAACTATACAATTTGGCAGAAAACATTATATTGCCTATAATTTTTCTTGCCTACCATTTGTTCGCCTATCTTGAATAGCTGTGTCATCGTACTTAGCTATTCAACATATTTAACCTTATAAAATGACACTGATTTTTTTGGGGTGGTGGGGGGGGGGGGTCAGAGTCATATCAGATATGCAGTACGTCAAAAACGTGCAGAGTCAAAAAAAGCTTTGAAAGATTTGCTCTTTTATGGTGGTGCCCTGAATAACTATCTTGAGGTAACTGTTTGTTTTTAAGCTTTCTTGGATTTGCTATCTGTTCATTTAGTTGACCCCATTGAATTGGAATCAAGGCGTGGTTATTGTTGCTATTGTTGTGTTTGGCTTCTCACAATATAGCATGTTACAGTTGGTTGGGGTTAACACTCAATATCATCTGTTATGTGTTGCTTTACCACCATGGTTTGCTCAATGCTTTGTATATAACATGGTTTTTTATGTGTGGTTATCCATTTTTGTTTGGTTTTTGTATTGCCTCTTTATTTAATAAATAATAAATTCTTTTATTTACTTTCAGTGATTCATACCATTGTATATGTCACATCCCTTTGCATATGCTATATTTACTTAAGACACATCTTGTTTGGTACGTGGCCAACGTGGGAAAGAATAATGAGGGAATGGAACTTAAATTCCACTAGAAAAGAAGAAAGAAGGTACGATTTTTTGGGTTGAAATGTAAAGAGTAACATTAGAGACCCAAGTGAGAAAGTACATCAAATTCTGGCATCCCCAAACAAACCAAGGCCAACACTGCCAAATCCAAAGCAAGGTAGAAAACCACAGTAAGATCAATTCAATTCAAATCCGAAGTCATCGTCGAGCTTCGAAGCCGTCCACAGTCTTGCACAACCGCCATCCGATCAGAAGCCAAATATCGCTGCAACTCTTCAACCGACCAGATGCTTTTGTGCTGCCCCATAGCCGCCTTCATCTATCTGCTTTGTTTGTAGCAGCTCCTAATGATCGATGATGAGTTGATAATCAGCGCAGAGAAAAGAGAAGACGTGGAAAGCAAATGGGCTAAATAATATAGGCTACGGTTGCAACTGGCAGGAATACTGACAGGATGGTTACTGTTCATTTGGGCGGCAACAATTTTCTGTTGTTGTTGTAAATAGGGTGATGATGTGATAAGTAGGTTCAAAATTAGTAGGGGTAAAAGGGTGATTTAAATTGAAAGTTGAAGTGTGTTTTGAGACTGATGAAAAGTGAAAGTAGAAAGGTTTTTTGGGATGGAGGGAGTAAAGTGTAAAGGAAAATACTTATTTTATCCTTTCAATTTTCTTAGGGAAAATTTCACGAGGAGCATGTGAAATGGGATATAGAGGATGATGACCCTTTTGACAAGAAATGTAAACTCAAGACTTCAGCTCGTAGTAGAACTCGCTTGAGGAGAAGGCAACGTAAGTTTTCATTTTGCAAACTTTTTATGCTTTTTTCACAAATAGCTCCTTGTCCAGCTTTTTTTTCGCACTCATTATCTATGTGCCTTTTATTAACTTATAGGAACATGGCTAAGAATTATTAATTCTCAAATGAAGAACCTTAGGTGCAAGATTTTTTCTTAATGTTTAAGATGAAAAAAGAATATGTATCTATTTTTCTGCAAGGTCCACCATTTTAACAAATACCTTCCTGGATGCAACCCTTTGTGTTTTGCATGTACTCTAAAATTAGATTGAGTTATTGAAGGTAAGTATTTGTCTCCTGACAAGTTCTCAGTCATTTTGGCACCAAATTTGCACATGTTTAGGCAAACTAAAGAAACACTGGTTAAATGAAGAAGATTATGAAGATGAACATCCAGAGAAAATATTTCAAGCAACCTTTGGTGAAAAATCATACACCTGGTCCTTTAAGCCTTGGAAGGAATTTTCGTATGAAAGTAAACGAACTCAAATTCACCATGAAGAAGAAACTGAATGGAATGGCAGACAGCAAAATAAGCACAATAGATCTGACACCAATCACAACCACAGTGAGTCTTATATTGTAGGATCATACTCCGAAAGATCAATCCTTGGTCTTCCGGTCAGGGGCCCATTGAAGATCGAGGAAGTCAAGAATGCGTAAGTTCTTAAAAACCTTGTGTGTGTGTGTGTGTGTGTAAGATCAATCTGAAATTTGTGGAGGTGGTTTGTTGTTGTAGTTTTCGACTCTCAGCTTTGAAGTGGCATCCTGATAAGCACCAAGGTTCTTCACAGGTTAGTTTGTGTAATATTGCATCATGTCAAGGGAGTCTTCTTTCTTTCTTTCTTTCTTTGTTTCTTTCTTTCTTCAGTCATACATAAATCTAGTCCAAACATATGTGCAGGCAGCAGCAGAAGAGAAATTCAAGTGTTGTGTTGCAGCATACAACTCACTGTGCAATGCCCTCTCCCCAGCATAACCCCACCCCACCCCTCATATATCCCGTTTGATTTGTTCACATTATTTTCAAAGTGTAGCTTTAGGATAGGGAAACATTCAGTATGAAAGTTCATTATGGATGCTGATGAGGAACAGGGGGTGGTGGATAATGAAATAGATGGAGAGGTGGAATTAAGGGCTGAAAAGGATGGTGCAAGCATTGAAAAAGGCCTTACAAGAAGAATATTTATGTGAGGTTAAAACGGTGTGGACTTTCTTATAATGCCCCTCCACACTACCTTACCCGTCTTTCATCTGTCCACCACCGTCGACACCCTTTACCGTTGTCAACTTTCCTCCTTCAACTCTCTATCCCACCGCCGCCTACCTCTCTCGCTCTCGATGACTTGGCAGAGATTTTAAAGCAGCAAATAAGTGAGTTTAGTTTAAACCATGACATCCAATTGGCTAAGTGAATTTAGTTATTTATGTTCTACTCTTATTTTATTTTATTTTTCCCATATAGAACTCCTTTATTCCTAGTGTGCCTCTTTTTTTTCAAAAAAATTACAGTTCTACATGGGTAAATGGAGAATTATTAAGCCCTATGTAAAATAATTTCATCTAAAAAGGTATATGGAGTAGTAATTTGAGATCATGTTCAATTCGTTTGGATATAGATTTTTATATTGTTAAATTTGTTTAGGTTCTTGTAAAATAGAAGACTTTTATTCTTAGTCCTTATAATTATTTTTGAAGTCATTCTTACAAAAAACTTTAGTTTGCAAACGGCTTAAAATGTATTTATCATTTCTAATTAGTTGATATGGCACGCCTCTTTCCTACTTAACATCTTAGTTTTCATTCTTAATAAAGACCCTCCGCGCGCCTCTTCACTCCTAGGTAGGGATTTTTATTACATTTAAGAAAAGATTCGTCACAAGATTGGAGGTTGGGGTTAAGTACTTAAAATCAAGAAAGGAGGTTCTTCTAAAGAGAGTTGCCAAGTCGATGCCTCGATTTGCTATGAGCGTGTTGTTATTGCCCAAGTCCACGTGCCAGAGGATTGAACAACAACCAAACCTTATCATTTGGCACAAAAAATGTCATCTACTCATCTCAACTAAATGTCAGTTGATGAAAGACATAGTTAGGAATAGGGAATTGAGAATGTCAGTTGATTGAAAGACATAATTTAAAACATACTCCCTCCGTCCCGGTATATTCGTCCACTTTTGACTTTTGAAACTGTTCATCTAAGCACTTTGACTCATCAAATTCTCTCAATGTGTAAGCTTAAATATAGTCATGTGTGATCTTGTTTGATTTGTTTTAACATATAGATTATTAATATATAATTTCTGTAATTTTTTAATATATAAATTACAAGATAAAATGGATTAAAGAAGTGTATTAGATGGTGTGTAAAAATGAAAGTGGACAAATACTCTGGGACGGAGGTAGTAACATTTAGGGGCTGTTTGTTTCAGCCTCTTAATGGGTTGAATTACTATCACAACACAAACATCAGTAGGGTAAAACTAATCTGTCTCACGACGGTCTAAACCCAGCTCACGTTCCCTATTGAGTTTCCTCTGGCTTCACCCTGCTCAGGCATAGTTCACCATCTTTCGGGTCCCAACAGGTATGCTCACACTCGCTAGGCCCTGCGTTAGCTCACTCCCTCCCTTGGTGCCTCGTTCATGGTTCAGCACTTAATGGTTCAGACTGTTTGTTTCAGCCTCTTAATGGTTCAGATGTCTGAATGGTTCAGACATTTGCCTCTGAGTGATTAAGTATTATACAGAGTCTGAATGGTTAAAACCTCTTATCTGAATTGATCAGACATTTGCCTCTGAATAGTTAATCAATATACTAGCTCTTAATGGTTCAAACCTCTTACTGGTTCAGCACTTATCTATTTAAAAGTTGCCAAACAGCCCCTTAGGACTGAGTTAGTTAGGGATGCATGATTATGATGGTGTTAAGAAAAAGGTGCGTCATCTACTCATCTCAACTAAATAAAAGTGTTAATTATCGTTTAGCACCATGTGCAAAATAAATTCTTTGGCTAGGATGATTTAATTAAAAATATTTTATAGAGATCAATAAATAAAAGTTTCATATATTGCAATGAACAAAAATATTTGGCCCATTCTTGTAATATTTCTGTGCCAAAATGTTTAACCTCTTTATTATTATGGTCTTTTGATAACTTATTTTTTTTGTATTTTTTTCAATAAAATATTCTTATCACTTCTTATTTTATAGAATTTTTAACATATTTTTTAAATATATACTCCGTCATTTTAATTTTTTTATTTCAATACTAATTTTTAAATAAAATCATTTTAAAAAGTCACAAAATCTTACATGTAGATCGGAATGAATAATTCATTTTGGATAGGAGTATCAATCTATATTTTTATTTAAACATATTTCGAAATATTAATGGTTTAATGTGTGCATTGTTACAATAGAAACAAAAGTATACTCCGTAATTCAAAGCAAACACTATTGTTTGATTTCTATTTTCTTGGTTTTTTCATGTGGAAGCTTCAATTCTGGGCTGAAATGAAAACGCACAGCTGAATTCATTCCCTCTGTTTGGCACTTCAACCCATTCATTCCCTTCCAAGTTGCAGATGAAGTATCTGCAGAACTCCGGACAAGAAGCGCAGACAAAAATCCGTCCACCGGCGCCGGCGCAGTTCACGTCTACCCTCTTCCCGTAAAACTCGTGCGAAATCGCCGGCGGCATCGCCACTACCTGCTCCCAATCCCATGTCTTCTCCTCGTTGAATCTCCACACTCTCAGGCTTGCGCTCTCCAGGTACTCCGACAGCACGACGGCGAACACCTCGCCGGCGCACTCCACTAAGTCGATCGAATAGTCGTGGTGGAGCGGAAGAAGTCTCGGGTACTCCACGAAACACTTCCCGGCGAGGTCGCAGGCCACCACCGTCCCGGAGGGACTGAGGAAGAAGACAGTTTCTTTGCCGGATTTCGAAGAAATGGCCGATGAGTATTGCTTGCAGGGGCTCCTCTGCAACTCCGATAACAATAAATTGCCGCATTTGCTCAAGATATAGAGTGGGTATTCCTCGAGATCTTCATCGGCGTTGGATTTCCCGGCACAGTCGCCGGTTTTCCGCCGGAGAAGTGTTTTTTCTCCCCACCCGCCCTCGCCGGAATCATAAACCCTGAAATTGAGCTCCGGGAATTCGCCGGAGATTAATACCAGCTTGTAGGCTGTCAGAGTAGAAGCCATAGCGACGGCCCGGAGAGGGGACTGCTGGAAATCGGAATCCGGCAAGGGAATCCCACGATACATTCCAGTGACGGGATTGGAAACCACGAACCCGTCCGACTCGCTAAAGAAGCAGAGGAGCCCGCCGGAAGCGGCAACGGGTACATAATCGGAGCAAGAATACCCGTCCCCCTCCATTTTCGGTAGAAAAGAAGGAACGCCGATGGACTTCCAATTCTCCTCAGACGAGTCGTACACCACCGGCGGGGCGACGGAGGAACCGGGAAGCTGGGAATCAACCATGTAAAACCAGGGGTCTCGAGAAGGGACCTCCGAGCAGGAGCGACGGAAAGTGGGAGACTGGGCCACCGACTTCCACCGCTTGCAGACGGTGGCGAGGCGGCCGAAGGAGGAGGTGGGTAGCCGAGAAAGAACAGTTTCAAGGATGTCTTGGTTAAGCTCGTCCAAGGGAAAAGCAGAGGATTCTTGAAATTTCCTCTTCAAATTCATCCTTGAAGCCATTTCTGCTTATGCCAATCAGATGGAAATTAAGGAAGGAGAGGAAGAGGCAATTTGAGGTGGGGATGTGGAATGGAAGGGAAGAGATATAAAAAGGGTGGGAATTTGGGGTGTGGAAGCTTCACCAAAGGCCTCTTTTCATCATTGTAGCGAATATTTGTGCCTTCTTTTATTTTTTTTCTTCTGCGTTGACAATGTAAAAGGGCGAGCATGAGGGCGTTTTCTTACCTTTTCCATGTCCCTATTATTCTTTCTCTCTCAAATACAGAGTATCAAATAAACACACCTTGTTTTATTACTACCTTCTCCCTAAAAGATTATCACACTTTTACTTTTTTCATCAAATTATGGTACTCTTTGATCACAAATTATAAAAAATGTGCATTTAGTTATTCCATCTGTCCTAAAACGTTCTTCCCACTTCCCATTTTTCTTCGTCCTAAAACTACCTTCCCATTAGGAAAAAAAGATGACAAATGACATTAATACCCTCATGTATTTACACCAATTATCTTCTAACTCTATATTTTGAATGATTGCAAAAAAACACAAAAAATCTTTTTTAAGGAGGGTAACATTTGAAGTCAAAGCTAAAAATTAAAAATGGGGAAAAGTCAAACTGGGAAGAAAGAATTAGGACGGAGGGAGTATAATGTAAATTTAGTAAGATTTAGTTTATTTTTAAATATAGTTTTGAAATATCAAACTCTACAATATTTAATTATTTTAACTAATTTATTATCAAAATGTGTCAGAGCTTGACCAAAAAGGTCAAACTCTAGTTGATGGGTGTATTCCACCCAAGACCCAGTCCAAAACTGGGTCAGCATAAAATAACCAGTCAAGTTGCAGACATGACAGCATGAAAGATCTAATAAATTAAATATAGGTCACCAGTCAAGATCGGAAAAGCTGACAGATATCGTATATAAACCCATGGGTCAGAGTATATGACTTCGAGCTGGCGGACTTCTGACCCTTCAAAACATAGAAGATAAACCTACCAGGTAGATTACTACGGTGTAAAAGTGTCGGCACGAATAACTCCAAGGTCGTTTGGACGGTAGTGACCGATTTTCAACGAGAGATTGAGAAAATATTCCCTCAATCTTAGATGCGCGGTACAGGCCGAAAGATGAGTCACCAGCACAAAACGACAAGGAAATGGGACAAAATGCTATGAGACAAAAGGGAAGCCACCTCGCGCCATCAGAGAACATGGGTCGACGTGGATGCGCGACGCTATGTCCCCTCCATTTCCTTATAAATACATGTGTAATCCTCAAAGGGAGGGGTCTGAATTCTTCTCTCTAAAACCCCTTGTGTAATAGCTCTCGTGCGTTCTACTATATTTTAATAACAATTGAACTACAGGTGTTTCCACATATAGTCCTCCTGGCTAATCTCTGTGTTTACTACCTTTCGCTTTCTCGAATCCAGTAGAACAATCCTTGACCTGGTCTCGTACTGTTTACCCGATTGGTAATTTACACCATCACTGGCAATATTTTAGGAATAGGGGAAGTATATTATTAAACTATGGGGAAGTATATTATTAAACTATCTATAGTGCTCCGTCACCACGGACTCTAAATTAGCAGCCACATCTCACTGACTGCACTCACTATATATTATAATATTTAATTATTTTAAACTATATTTAATCTGTGGTTAAATGGTGTCACAGTTTGACCAAAACGGAGGAAGTAATATTAAATATATATTTTGAATATCATGTCTCACTTTTATTTTTGGTCAAACTATATACTCCCTTCGTTCCTAAATATTCACAACATTTGCTTTTTCAGCAGTCGCGGGAACTTTTGTTTATTTCGACATTTTCATTGGTTATTTGATAAAATAAAATATTCTTGTCACCACTTATTTTGAAGAACTTTTCATGTAGTTTTTTTATATGTAAATTTTATTTTTTATTTCTATACTAATATGTAAATAAAATTAATTGAAAAAATTTGATATTTTACTTCGGGAATACAAATGTGGCAAATAATTTGGGAGGGAGGGAGTATATTACTTCCTCCGTTTTGGGGTGATACTCGACAATAGTGATTTGCAATACTATTACTCCGTATTAACCACAGATACTATTAATACTATTACTCCGTATCCACCAATACTATTAATATATTACATAAAAAAATATTCATATAAAATTTTGATATACTTTAAAATATGTAATTTTTTACTTTTTGTTTTCTTACCAATTTATTAATAAAATATTTTTACTCACATAAGATTTTGCACATTGTTTGAAACAGAAATTTAGTTTGTAGACCAAGGGAGTAATATTTATTTCAACATTTTTTTATTTTTATCGAACATTTTCAAATGTTTCCAATTTGTCCATATTTTTACCCATCTTTTATCATTTTTAAATTTTTTCGAAATCTTTTTTCTCTTAATTCTCTCTAGTTTTTTTTTCCAATTCTTTCTGGTATTTCAATGAAAAGTAATTAATTAATAAAAATCATAGAATAATGAGATTGAGAAAATTAAATAACAATTATTTGTTCAAAGTAAATGGTGAGTAAATTAAATAATAATTAATAAAATAATTATTGAATAAAATAATACTAATAATTATCTATAAAATGTTAAAAAAAGATAAATAGTTGATAAAATAATAATTAATACGGAGTAATAGTATTGCAAATCAATTAAACAAAAGTGGATAAGTTTATGCAAACTTCCCAAGAAATTGGGGTTATTTAACAAATTTTAACAATTAATGGAAACTTATTAATCAAACTTTTAGACTATTAGGTGTCATTAAAAGTACAAATGTCATCTAATGAATGGAGGGGCATGGATGCCCTCTCAATTACAAAGGCACCAAAAAAAATCCCTAGTTTTAAAACCTGTGACGAACTAAATAAATTATGAAATATAGTTTAAACATATCGATCATATTATTGATTAAATATTTGTATGTTGATACTATTTCTTGAAACATGATCAAGGAATTGAAAAAAATAAAATTAAGATTGAATCAAGCTACATTGTCATAAAACGAGTTAAAATTATCCGAGAAAAGAATAAAACATACCGGTCTAGATTTGAGTCATACCCTTTACCCAATTCCGGTTTTCCAATTTTTCTAATTCTGGTCCTACGTCAAAAGTTCTTTAAAACAAAAGGTGATAAGAAATTTTTATCATATCAAATGATCGAAGAAAACGTATATATAAATAAAGTTTTCATTATTTTTAAATACTGAAGTGTGTGATATTTTTTTTTTGGAACCCACAGAGAATGTCTTATAGATACGGAATATTATTCTTTGAACTTTTTTGGTGTGTCTCCATTTCAGCCAGCTAAAAATTCTAAAATACTAATCATTATTTTTAGAATTGTCACACACGATAACTAAACTCATTTTTGAATTGTTCTCAAAGAAAAGGAAGAAAAAAAAAAGCACTACCACATAAGCTGTAAAAATAAAAAAATACCTCAGCATGGTTGCCTTTTTCCCAGCAAAGCAAGCGTGGAGTATCTATTGCATTTATTGTTTAGATTTCATCGAAGAAGATTATTTCACCCTCAGGTAAAAAATGATTACTCCCATAATCATACGGAGTATTTTCTTCGTGCGGGGAAGTTGAAACGGAGCAAAGGTGTTTTTTGAAGGAGGTGCAAAGGTAATTTAGACAGCGTTCCGTTTAACTTAATCAGATCAGGTCAGATTTAATTAAATCAGATTTAATCAATTCAGATCAAATCTATTCGGATCAGATTTAACCAGACCTAATCATAATTTATATTACTCCTTCTATCCACCATAGATCTTCCCAGACACTATTCACATGATCAAATTTAATTCACTTTGTTTGTTTATTTTTACTACTCATTTCATAAAATAATATAGTGTTGTCACCTCTAGTTTTGTAGAATTTTTCATGTAGTTTATTACTACATAAATTTATATTAAAATTTTACCCCTATATTCAAATAAATTGAATTGAAAATAAAGTCGGTCAAGCCTCGTAACGCGCAATGCGAAGATCTTAGGTAGACGGAGGGAGTATTATTTTTATTATTTTTTTTATTACTAATATTATTACCATTATTAGTATTATTATTACTATTACTATTAATATTATGATTATAATTATTATTACTATTGTTATTATTATTATTACTATTATTATTATTAATATAATAATTGTTACTATTATTATTAATATTATGATTATTATTATCATTATCATTACTCTTACTATTACTATTATTATTATTATTATTATATTTATTATTACTATTGTTATTATTACTATTACTATTTAGTATATTATTATTATTGTTATTATTATTTCTATTATTATTATTATTACTATAATTATAATTGCTATTACTATTACTATTATTATGACTATAATTATTATTACTATTGTTATTATAATTATTACTATTACTAAAATTAATATTATTATTACTACTATTATTATTACTGTTATTACTATTATTTCTATTATTATTATTATAGTTATTATTATTATTACTACTATTTTTATTACTATTATTATTGTTATTATTACTATTACTATTATTATTATTTATATTATTATTATTGCTTTTATTATAGTTATTTGGGGAAAATGAGTGCAAGGAGAGGGAGGAAGCTTAGTTGAGAAGAGAAATGAGTGTGAATTTACAATTTCATCCACGTTCTTAACGGAAATGTTAACAAAGGACCATTTATGGAAATGAATATAATAATTGGGGACTAAATTAGTAATATTTGATATGTAGGGACTAAATATGTAAAACGACCTATAACTGGGTATCTTTTATGTAATTTATTCTTTTTTAAAAGAAAAATTAAAATTTTGGATTAAGTTATTTGTACATCAAAACTTGTACCTTATTTTGTACCCGGAGGTATCCACCGATATTTTATGCTAGTGTGATGCTAGTGTGATAGTTTATATTAACAAAAAATGTCAATGCAATTTTTTTAAGTAACTAACATTTTGTGTCAATGTGAATACATTTTTTGGGTACAATTTGAAAAAATTTAGGTTGGATAATGGAAAAGATAAAGCTATTTGTACCCAAGTATTTGTATCCCATTTTGTATACTATAGAGATGCAC